TCATTGCTCGTCCTTTTCAGATGTGAGAGCAGATCACCCCAAAGCAAGAAGTTCCCAGTGAAATATGTGTTCAAAGGAACCTCAAAACGAGAAAGTTCCCACGTTCCTGAGCTCCGAGGGGGAGAAGAGGCCAGGAAGGAAGAAAGGAAACTTCATCAGTCCGGCCTCCCAGGCTGAGGGACAGATGGGGACACGGGCGTGGGAAGGGCTGTCCCTGCGGAAACCCACACTCGAGGGCCATGCCTGCGGACAGGGCGAGCGGGGGGCGGAGCTTCATTGAGAGCCGGTGGAGCAGGGAAACAGGAAGACGGAACAAGCGCGGGCAGCCTGCGCCTGGCTCGCCCGCCGCCTCACAGGTCAGGAAATGCCCAGCGGGCCGACATTCACGAACGTCTGTCCTCGCCCGTCCAGGAGGCACCGTCGGCCCTCCTCCAGCTGGCTCTAGCAATGGGCTCCAGGTAGAAACACCTGCAGGCTGAGAATGTCCCCACGAAGGGCCTTTTCAGAACACAGGCCTTCGGGGCGCCTGCCCGCTGTCACCAGGAGGCTTAGACCAGTGACCCTGACCCACCGCAGCCTGCAGCAGGCTCCACCGCGGTCCAGCGCAGAGAGTGTGGGGGTGGCACCAGTGTGACCTGACGTCAGGGCGAAGGCCACAGGGGACCTCGAACGAAAGTGGTGACGCCTGCGGATGTCCTGGGGACTCGATCGTCCTTCGTGCCAGCTTTCCGTGAGCCGTGCCAGCGTCTGTCCCTACAGGCCTCATCCCGCCTGATCTGAGGGCAGATGGGAGCCGGGCCGCGGGGGCTCTGCGTCCCCTCCACATGGGCAGGGCTGGCCACTGGCTTCGGCCTCTGGTTGCTCTTGCACCAGGGTCCCCTGCATTCCTGGAAGGCTGTGGGCAACAGGGTGTTACCTGGGCTCTGTTTCTAATGACCTTCCCATGTCCGTCCCCAATTTGGGCACCAAGATGTGATGGTTTGTTACCTCTGCAAGTGAGCCAGACTCCAAGGTGCACTGCGGACTAGATGAGACTGGGGGCCAGCCCCGTGACCTCAGCACCAGGGAGAAGACCGTGGTGCTGGGGACACTTGGACATTTGCTCTGGAGCAGGACAGAGAGGTCATGGTAAGGGCAGAGGTCTCCATGAGCCGGGATGAGGGTTAAAGGGGGCGTCTCCGAGGCCCAAGGAAGCAGCATTAGGACCAGAGAAGGAGCAGGGTGGGGGCAGCCACGAAGAGGACAGGGTGGCCTCCGGGTCCGGTGCCCAAGGACGAGGCTGTGCTCCTGGCAGCAGCCTATACCTTTGAGAACCTCTGCACAGAGCTCGGAGTCCACTGTCTCCTGGTCTCCCCCTCAGGCTCCAGCTGCTTGTTCAGGGAACTCCGGGTGGTCCTCTTGACCAGAGGCCCGCCGGGGTCAGGCTTAGCCACGGGCACGGGGCTGACACTGCTGCCCACAGTCACCTGCAGACCCTGGGGACATGGATTTCTGAGGTCCGAAGCTGCCCTGGGTTGAGCACCCCGGGGCGCGCCTTGGCTCCGGTACTGGGGCACCTGGTGTCGTCCACACGCGGGGCTCCCCAGAGCACCCTGTCACACCGCGCATGCCCCGTGTCACTGCAGCCACACCCACACCCACGTGGCATTCTCGCTTTATTTCTTTTTGGTGTCCGTGTCTCTTGGT